TGTACAACATTATCCCTAAAGTTAACAATACTGTACTATACATTTAAAAATGGTTGAGAGGGTAGATCTCATGTTGTATTCTTAGCATAATTTATTTAAACACACACACACACACACACACACACACACACACACACACACACAAAACCTCACCATGATAGCTCAAGAAAGAGACTGTGGAATAAAGGAAAAAGTTTTATATTTTAGCACTTTTAATGGCATTTTTTCCCCTGCTTTTTGAACAAGGGGCTCTGCATTTTCATTTTGCTCTGGACCCATAAATTATATAGCCTTCCCTGTTTATGTGTATAATCATGTGTTTGTGCAAGTATTTTCAGTAGAATGAATTCCTAGAAGTAAAGTTAATAGGAGGTAAAACAATATATACACACTTCGATAGTCATTACCAAAAAACTCTCCAAAAAGATCATCCCGTTTACACTTCCACCAATAGTAAATGAGACTTTCTTATTAAGAATTATCCTTGTTTGTTTGTTTGTTTGTTTGTTTTTAACCTTGCTAATACAATGGGAAAAATTGTTTTTGAAATTAAGACTTTTATTCTTGAATTACCTCCTGGGATTACTTCGGAGAGAAAGTATGGAGTGATCCTACATAGTGGTCTTTCCCCTTGTTCCATTCACCTTGTTGACATGGGGTTTTTTTCTTTTTATTATTCTTTTTTAAATTTTATTTTAACTCTATTTAGTTGAATGACATTTTCCTTGATATTTACATTCTGAAAAATATTCATATTTACCATAAACAAATTAAAAATGCAATCACTCATAATCCTACAGTTCCTAGAAGAAGAAATATTCAAACTTTGTCTTAGAGGACAAGCAGGAATTAGGCAAGCACAGGAAGATGAAATAGATACTCAAAGAGGAGCCCAGGCCAGGCTCGGTGGCTCACGCCTGTAATCCCAGCACTTTGGGAGGCTGGGGCAGAAGGATCACTGGAGGTCAGGATTCAAGACTAGCCTAGGCAACAAAGACCTTGTCTATGCAAAAATATTTTTTTAAAAAATTAGCTGGTTATGGTGGCATGTGTCTGTAGTCCTAGCTTCTCAGGAGACTGAGGCAGGAAGATCTCTTGAGCCCAGGAGTTGGAGGTTGCAGTGAGCTATGATTGTGCCACTGCGTTCTAGCATGGGCAACAGAGTGAAACCCTGTCTCAAAAAAAAAAG